TTTTTTTCAATTCCGTGACGAAGACCATAGCTGTTACCGCGTTTCCCCGTCAACATCAATTATGCCATGCATACTTTGGGCACTTTTTCAGCTTCGTGACAGACATGCACTGACAATTGCAAATTACAGATGAAAACTACCATAAAGGAGAAAAAAATTAAGAAATAAAAATAAAAAATTTGTTAATGCGAAATAAAACTTGTTATTAAAACACCAATGTTCCCAACTACGCATTTCGAGTTTTCTCAAGCGTAGAAATTCTTATCTAATTCGAGGATTAGATAAAAACCAAATTACAACTATGATTTATTGAAAGCAAGGACAATTAGCACGACACTGCATAATATATTGTGTACACATATCGCAAGTCTCAAAGTTTTATTCTTTGCTCCAACAACTAACTCAGCCGTTTCGCTATCAACAAACATAACAAATCCCGTAATGCGATCAAGAAACAGTAAATCAACAAATTGAGAGCAACACAGAGGCCTACTCACAGGCACTCTAATAACAAAAAAAAATCTTCAAAATATAGCTATCGATAAAGAAGCTAGAAATCTATTCTCAAGCATAGCAATTTGGAAATAAAGATTCAAGAATCAAAGGCAATTCATGCTCGTTACCTAAGCAACAAGGTATACGTTAACTGCCAAAAAGCCATTCGGACATATACCTACAATTCTGTGGACTGATCACATGGCCCGATGTACAATCATCTACCACTGGGCAGGTCGAACAGGGTACCGTAACCAGAGGAGATGGACGAGATGTTGACCAAGCAGAGCGCACCTGCAGACGTATCAGACTCAAATATATAGGCACAAAGAAATTATATTACCTAAGTGCAAAATGAAAAAAAGCTAAGTTCACTTAAGAAAATGATCAAAACCACAAATAACAGAATCACAAAATTGAATGGTAGCCTAAAAATGCACAAATCTTTTTGCGTCTTCCACCTGAAATCGAAATCAAGAACAGATATTGATACTATGAGATGAAAGATAGCGATCTTAACAAAAAGAACACCAGATAAAGAAAGCCCAGATAGGTCAACAAGAGCGGTTCAAGATGATATGGCAAAAGAATAGTTGTAAAGATTGTGTTGAAAAAACAGGTAGAGATAGTACTAGGCTACCGGAAGTAACGAAACAAATAAATGCTACAGACCAAGAAAACGAAGGTTTGAGCTAACTTTTCAAGTTTACTCAACCCTCAAGCTGTGAAAAGGCGAATGAATCTCAGAAATCAAGCGACATGAAGCTATACACCAGATGATATACGTTGCAGTGATCGATTAAGATCGTCTATTTTCACAATTGATCTATTCTTGTGATATGATAAATGTAGCAACTATGCCTGAGATATAGCGATTTTCAAAAAGCCTGAACGCTTCGATTTTCAAAATAAGACTGAGGCAGAGGTGTGGTAAAATGAAACCCATCCAAAGAATCATAGTAGTAAAGCTCATCAGTGACAAACCTTTCCGTCAGGCCGTCGCTCAATTGCACCATCTAAAACAGCAACATCTAAAATCCGCTCAATATCTTCGAGAGTGACGGTAACGTTTAGCACTCGCTTTTCCAGGACAAAATCTGCTATCTGCAAAATTACAGTGAGACGCTGCAGCTCGACCCAGTAGAGAAATACCTCTTGCGGACGTACAGCACTGAGCTCTTTCTGCATTTGCATATCATCAGGGTGATTCTCCGCAGCTTGTTTTCGCCGTCCCTGCAAGAAAGAAATTTGTACATGAACATCTCCGCTGTGGAAGAGAGAAGAGCTTATCAACATTCTGAGTGTAGAAAAGGATGTTAACTGAAATTAACACAACCGAAGGAGAAAGAGGGTAAGCGTTTGTGAAGGACACGTGATATGCTGTGCGTAAATTTCAATCTATTAGCCTATAACACAATATTTCATAAAGTTTACTGCAAAACTACTTGGACGTCGTTTGCGAATCCTTACATGATAAAAGTGTGGGTTAT